GACCGTAGGCTTGAGAAAAACGCTGTCTAAAAGGAAACAAAAACCTTTAAAATTAACTGTTATATATCATCTTGTAGAGAAATGTTTTCTCTACAAAACTGCCGTTTTAGAAAAATGTTGCAAATCGTTTTTATGAAAATACAAAACATTTATTGTGAATTTTTGAAAAATACGAAAAAATAACCGATGCACTCCTACTGCAGGTTACGTACCCTAGACGTTTTATTTTGTGAAAATCTTATTAGATTCTTATAAGATCCTTATCAGTATCTTATATAAGATTCCCCACGTAAGTGATAAGTGTTCGGTAAGATTCTTATAAGATACTTATAAGATTTTGATAAGATGTCAGTAAGAAGTTGATAAGATATCGGTAAGAATCTTGTTGAAATCTTACCAAAATCTGATTAAATTCTTACCATAAAATAAGCTAGTTAAGTTTAAATCAAGCTGGCACATCTATGCTTGGTTTTTTATGCGTTTATCTATTTGTTTTATTTTTCCTAGGTACGGTTCTAGTATCTCTATGTGAGACACAACAAGTGTAGTTGCGCCATCTTTATAATAATTAAAGCGTCACTGTACGTATTACAGCAAAAAGTAAACACAGAACTATCACCCATCTCTCTTCTCAAAGGTGAAATTGACGGCAGTCTTTTATATAGAATGCGTTTGTGCGTAGAGGCAATTGGATGTGACAATGATTGGTTCTCAGACAGGAAAGTCCATCGTATTAGAAAAAAAATAAGATAAGAATAATAAGAACACAGTTTAAGTATAAAATTACACGAGTTTCTCATTCAGGTTATTGATTCTCTATCTGATACATATTTACTCAATGATGACTGCGACCTACTCTCCTCAAGAGCTCATCTCGATTACTGAAATCGAGCAAAGGACGAAAAAGAATCGTGAAAGAGAAAGACAAAAGTATCTTTCTAAGAAAAAAACAAGATCTAAGGTTCAGCAAAATACCCCAAATGATGATAGTGGTAGTACTTGTGATGAAAGTGATGGAGCACGTTCAGTCATTGACCATGAAATGGACTATTTTTTTTCTGTCGATAGCACACCTAAATTGGAACCCATTCGCGCTAGAAGTGAGGCAAATTTAAGTGATTCAGATGTGGATTTATCAACTAAATTTTACGATGAGCCATCTGATGAAGAATCTCTGTTCAGTGATTCAGAAGATCATGACACAGACAACATTTTATTGAGATATCGTCTCGCAGAACCAATTCATCCATACACGAATCAGTCGACATACGATTATTGTATCGAGTTCTTACGTTTGTCAAGAGATTGTTTACTGGACAAAAATAAGGTAACAAGACTTTTACGTTTCCAGTCCGATACGCTTCCTCATCCTAATAATGTGCCCAGATCCTTTCGGACTCTAATGAAGATAGTTCCAATAAAAAATACATTCGAAAAACAAGTTTTTTCGGCCTGTTGTTGGAAGCTGCTGCCACATGACGGTTGTGATTGTATTCCAGTTGATTCGTCAACCCAAGACGTTTTCACGGTCGATGTAAAATGTGAATTAGAAGGCGTCGTACAAAGATCTTGGAAAGCCATAATGGAATATCAACGAAAAGCTTTGAATCGCCCTGATCTATGCGGGAGGGATATTGTAACTGGTGACGCATATCAGAAAATACTAGCGAAAAAAAATAAGAATAACATTACACTGCTTTTTAGCGGAGACGGTGTTCCTCTATGTGTGTCCAATTCCAAATCTGCATGGGTGTTCTCTGCAGCTGTGATAGAAATACCGCCAGAATTTAGATACTCCTTCAGAAATATGTTGCTTTTGCAGTTTAGTGTTGGACTTTCAAAACCGGATTTAAATATTACGTTAGAATCAGTCATTCGACAATTATTGGTTCTTCAGAAAAATGGGATTGCTCTAATGTTAAACGGTCGAAACACACATTTTAATTTTAATTTTTTACTATTCACTGCTGACTCGCCTGCCATGTCTCTCTTCTGCAATTTTATAGCCAGTAGTGGGCTCCACTCATGCTATATTTGTACCGCACCGGGTAAATATGATACAAATTTAGGCAAAGTTGTTTATCGCGAAACCGGCTGCGGAAATAGGACGTTGGTTTCTTATTACGATAATGTTATGAAAGCAAGAGCAAAACGAGAAACATCCCGAGCGAAGAAAGATCCAACCAGTGAAGGAATTAAAGGATATTCAGTTTTAGAACCCCTATTTCCTCAAAATTTGCTTGGAAGTATAAAACCCGATTATATGCATTCAACGATCAAGTGTGTTTTCGATAGTTTATTGTCGTTAATTGTAGATTCCATCCCCAAAAGCGATTTTGAAAAAATAAATAAAAGAGTATTACATACTCGTTTACCTCATGACTTCTCACGCAAAGTGCGTTCGTTAGTTCATAGACACCAATATAAAGCAAACGAATCGCGGACACTGTTATTGTATGTTTTATTGCCTAGTCTAATCGGATTTTTACCAGTTGAACTTTTCTCTCGTATTGCCTTATTCGTGTGTGGGATACGATTAGTACATGGGGATAGTAGTGTGCATGAAAATAGCGAAGAGATCGCTGACAGTTTGTTTTGTATATTTGCACTCTCGAATACCGATTCCCTCGGTAAAATTATGAATCTATCATATCATGTGCATATGCACTATGGTTTGTTGACAAAACGTTTTGGAACAGTGAATTACTCGAGTTGTTTTTCCTTCGAAGGTTTTCTGAGAACAATCATACGAAATAAACATGGTACGACAAATTTTGGAGAACAGCTTTCGCTATACCATGAAATGGATCGGTTTCTTGCTTCATTTGAAGAGAAGATGTTGACATGTATTGATGAAAATAGAGTCGAATTGCTAGATAAGTTTGCCAATAATATCATAGTACAGCAAAATTGTGCCTGCTTATTGGATTTCTATCGACGGATTCGTATTGCTAATGTTGTTTATCATTCGTTGTCGCATGTCAGAAAAGGTAGAACAAACAGTTTTACCGTTCAGATTGTTCGAGGTCAAAAGAATGCTTCTCAAGATCATGATAGATCATTTTTGGAGATTGCTTGTTTTGCTCAATGTAAACATGGAACTTTCTGTATCGGCCATTTAGTAACAGAAAGTTCCGATAAGTTCTCCACATTTGCATAGTGTATCACATTTGCAAATGTATAGTTATCGATGTTGGCAATGTCATGATATATGCTCCTCTCTCCATTGGCTTTGAACATGATTAATGTTCGCTTGAATAAAATATTTTCTTTCTATTTTCTCATCTTGCTTATTTTTTCTTTCTTTCTAGGTGTTTTCTTATTTGGTTTTATTTGTGGTGTTTTCGTGTGGCATAGAAATTTTAATTTGTTTTAATCGTTGTTGTACATAAACAAAGAAAATCTTACGTAAATTCTTATAATTCGTTTGTTGGAGCTGACGCTCTGTGTTTTTAATCGGTATGTATACGTTTTACATTTTCTCTTACCTCAATACCTATGCTGCACAAAGATTTTCAGGAAAAACATAAAACAAAACGTTTCTCCAAAAAGCCCTGTAAAATCAAAAAGAATTGCTTTTGCATATTTAATTAGGCATGTACCAATACCAATCGTTATTGGAGATATTGTACAATACTAGTGGGTATCCAATAATATTCGGATCCAATAATATTGGTCACCCAATCTGTTAGAACCAATAATATTGGTCACACAATCTATTGGAACCAATAATATTGGTCACTCAGTATATTGGGACCAATAATATTGGATTCCGCAGTACACTGGATTCCAACCTTTTAATCTTAA